TAGAGAACGTATTATCACACCTTGCCTTCAGCTGCCGTTCCCCTGCTTCTTTGTGTTTTGGTAGCGGGTCTTCCTTTCTCTGACCCATTCAAATACGACAGCGTTCTTAGGAAGCAAATCCCGGCTGGGCTGGCACAAGAGGACAGACAGCACTGCAGTTCAGCTGCCCACTGGGGTTTCCTGGGCCAGGGGTGCAGCTATTGGTTGCTTCTCCGCTGACTTTCAAGGCAGCTGGTTGTCATCTGCCCACAGCTTTACGTTGCCATCACCTGGAAGTGGGACTGCTCTGCTCTACTACTGCTTTTGAGGTCATGTTAGAGTTTTAAGAACGATGCCTCTTTTCAGCTTTCAGTGAACCACAGCATGTTTCTTCAATGTTCAAAACACCGGCAGCCTTTGGCGCCTGGCCACGCTGGTGACCTAATTTGGTAACGATATTTCTTGCAGATCTGGTAACGATGCAAGACGGGAATCGTCCCAAGAGATATTGTTGTGCTTTTAGCTGAACTGTTATTTCTCTCGGGCCTACGCTGGGTTGAAGCGCAAGTGTAGAAATGAAACGGCCGTACACGAAAAGCCATATTTACTTAAGGCATTGGGTATGGCACTTGGTCACAATGGGTGGAGATGCTCATAGAGATAGCTTCTTTCACATTGGCAGGTATACAAGACCAGTCGTGTGGCCTGGCAGTATTTTTTGGCCCATGAGCTAACAAAGCAATACATGAGCAGGCTGGTAAGCCTACAGACCTGAAATCAAGTGCAAGTTAAAAGTATAACAAACAATATTAACGTATCCTTCCCACTGAGATGCAATTGAATTGTAAGTTTCCCAATGTGCTGGCCATGTTTCTTAGTGCCTCAGCCTAAGTGGTGGAAACTGATTCTGAAGTGTGTTTTTGTGGCACTGGAGAAATCTTGTATTTTTTTCAGCTGAGTGTCATGTGCTTCAGGGTCTTTTCCAATGATGCTGCAATTGTTGCCTGTATTAATCCTTTTAGGGTCCTTCTGCCTTCTCTTTTGCAAGATAATGCTTTCTGTGTATCAGAAATTATACATCTTTCCTCTGTTATCTCTATTTTTAAATAGTGTTTACAAACTGTGTTTTTGTATGTCACATCTCATCCTGCAAGGCACAAACAAGTCTTTCTTTGCCTTTCACCTCTTTTTTTAGTTAATTTTTACGTTCTTTTTTCTTATTTTTCCATCGTATTGTCTGATGTCTTTGAATATTTCTTCATATTTCTTGCAACAGCTTCTTCATCATTTGCATCACCAGTGCATCTTCACACATTCACATTAGAAAATCCATTCCATGTGCATTTGAGATTTTTTTTCTGTCTGAAGTCCCTAGTTCCTTAGCAATAGGTTCAAACCTGTTCAGTCTATGGGTTCAGATGATGCCAAAAAGAATTTTTTGTTTTGTTTTGTTTTCCAGCTTCAGTGGACTCTCACCATATTACTTTCCCGTCCCAAACATCTGCGTCTGCAGAAATATCAAAAATAAAGACTGGTAAATTGTGTTTATGATACTTCCATAGCTTAGGATTTGTTTTTGTGTCAAGGATGTTACAGTTACAGGCTGTGTGCTCTGATTGCTCTGTCTGAAACAGAATTTTGTCTGCAGTGTTTGGTAGTTAGGCTCTATAACTACATGATGATATTCTGTGGCATGGGATCAAATAAAAAAACCACAGGAATCAATATTGTTTTGGGTGGTTTTAATCTGTCGGATATAAGGACCGCTAGCTGGATGGAGTCATTATCAGTTATGAAGGTATATTCTTGACTGGGACATTTTACCCTGGGTGATTTTTTGTTAGTCATACTATACACATCTTTCTGCAATTTTCTCCATTACTAAGCACTTTTTTCAAGTTATGTTATGTTGGAACTTTTCTTACTGAGGTCATAGCTATCCAAGATTAAGTTTGTATTCATAGCAAAGGTATGAATGTGTGAGAGATGAGAAGGAAAATTATCCTAAACCTGACAGTCAATATTTCAACAGTATTGTTTTGAACTTTCCGCCTCACCTTCTGGCTCTTGAGTATGTTACAAAAGTTGTGTTAATTTCTGTTACGGCAATTATATAAAATATCACAATTTTATTTAAATGACAAATTACATTATGTGTACTGTATTAAAACCTATAACTCAAAATACTGGCATCTGTTAAACTGAAACAAGCACAGCGTTGGCAATAGAAATAGCTGGTTGTAGAAATTCATATCAGCATATATTTTAAGTGTGTAGGTCTCTTTCTACAGATGCAGGTGAAGTCAAAAACACAGGTTTTTTGATGCTACATGTGCACAGATCAATTAACTGCTGTTGATAAGTCTGCTTTTAGGGGGACTGCAGTTTCTGTCAGGGTGTGTCTGTTAGGTGTGTGTGTGACTTTGAGGTTTTGTTAATTTCTTTTCAAGCTGGAAAACTTGTGAAACTGTGGTATTGGAATCTTGCAAAGCAATGTAAAGCAATCTTAGTTTTTCTGATTTCCCCCCCTTCTCCCTATTTCTGCACCAATATGAGTCTATCTCTCAGGGTTATTTACGTTTTTCTGCAGTTACAAGTTCAGCTGACCTGGAAAAATCTATGCCTCCACTTTCCAGAACACCTCATGTGCAAACCACAACTATGGGTAATAGTAATGCTTTGGCTTTTCAGTTAAACCACTTTTGGTGTTTTGATGGCAATTTTGGAAATCCTATTCATCCCAGATATTTTGGTCATCTGCCATACTTGTCTTCTGCTTGAGTCATGATCATCAGTGTAGACAAAGTACTCATGTGAAAACATGAGCCGAGACAACTTGTGCTTGCTGCTGAGAAACTCACCTGATAGTGTTTCTGATCTTACATTTGTCTCTCAAAAAGCTACTAGTGCTATTTTGAGATATATTTAAATGAAGTAAGATTGGTTTAATAATCATAATAGTGCCTAAAGCTTAATAAGAATCTTAAAATTACCTGGTTTTTTCTTTCAAGCTTAATTGTTATACTCTCAGATAGATGGACGCACGCATTTATATACTCTATATTGTTTATGCCAGCATAGTAAGCTTCTTTCTTACAATTTCTTACTGTTCAGTGATTTTTTTACTTTATTTTACCCTTGTTTTATGTGTGTATAAATGTACACAGATTATACAACATTAAAATTCACTAACAAAAACTTGAGAGAAAACAAAGCACTGAAGAGAATTAAGACAGTCTTTTTTACAGAAATATATTTGCAGTGTTTTTTAGTTTTGTAGATTGTATTTTTTCTGCCTTTTTTGGAGTGCTTTATGCTTATAACCATGGTGTTAGAAGTTCTTTTATCTTTATATTTTCTGGGTTGCTTTAAACTACATGGACCACGCTATCTAAAGTAATACCAGCTTTGGTTGGTTGACACCTTAGTTTCAGTTGTGATTTTAACCGCTAGCTTCAGCTCCCACTCTAAACCAGCACTGCTCCATTGTCAAGGTAAGGCATACTTATTGTGGGTGGACCTTTGCACTGCAAATTAAGTATGTTATAACCTATAACATTTTTTGTTTGTTCTTATAAAACAAAAAAAGTTATGTGTAGAATTAATATTCATAGATTCTGTGACCTGGTTTTTTTATAGCTTTCAATGGTATTCAGCCTGTTCTTTCAAGCCTTGTGACACCTAGTAAGCCTGAAATACCAGATGCTGGACCAGGTACAATAATCTCTACCTAGTTCTTAATTTAGTAGCTCAAACCATGCTCTAAAACTCACTGAAATGTGTACATTGGTAATCTTCACTTTCAGTGCACATTTGGATTAGACACTAACACCTGAATTTTTAATTTAGATTGCTGTTAATGGTTGAAATTGGTGCTTTCTCACACTTAAAATGCATATGGCAACTCATAGTCACATGATTCTCCTTCAGTATTTTGAAAAATATGCCATATAGATAATTAAGAAAACAGTATTTATTGCCCAGTAGTGCTGATGAAAATACTGCAATGTATGCTGTAGACAGCATTCTACTGCTGCAGTCTTGTTAAAAATACTGAGAGTGTATCCTTAATGGCATGAAATTTATTAACAGTCATAGATACTCGATGCTTTGGACTGAAACCGTAGTTGGATCAGTTGTCAGCTTTCTACTCCAAATTTTGCATGGTTTTAATGTCTGACTAATTGATTGTTCAACATGTCTTCTTCATTAAATTCCTACATTTTACACCATACATCATCTTCCTTAAGTAATGGACCAAAACTCAAAATGTTCAAGTGGTTAACTTAAAATCTTACTTGGCAGTGGTTGAGATCCAGATCAGTTGCAATGAAGGCAGGAGGAAATGAACATCCAGAATTTCTGCAGATCACAAATGCAATGATTTATAGTTACTGAAGCTCTGTGCAGTTCAAAAGACTGAATTTTTCTCTAATGCATACTAAACTGATAAGTGTCCAAGCATTAGTGAAATATTTGTTGTTCTTGTAAAAACAAATTTGTTTTTGCTTATGAAGGGTTTCTTCCATTAGCTCTTTGCTCTCTTATGACTGTCACCATTTCTTCCAACAGCAACAAGTGAATCCATTCTGGAATCTTTCACACCTAAAACTTCTCGTCCTTTTCAATGGCCAAGGGTAACATTAGGTAATGTTTTCACCCAGTGAAAAACTCTGTGTTTGTTTTGAGTACTTCATCCCATATGAATGCATATTTCTTCCAGCATATCATTTCACGTGCATAATCATTATTCTTTTTCCTGGTTATAGAGTCTTGTTCTTCCATTGTCATTAGACTGATTCTTCTTGATATATCTCTGTATGAGAACATAGTTCAGGATGGTTTTACTGTCCTCAGAGAAGTAAAACTTGCCTCTTGCATGAAAAACTCCACCATCCTTTTATTAGAGTGTACTGTCTATCTCCTTCACTCTCATGCACACGCATTTGTTGTCTTTGTCTCTGATACGTAGAGCATTCATAGTGGAAATTTTAATTGTTTCGGAGACATAGAATCTATTTCTGATCAAGGCACAGCATTTCAATATCATCTCCATTCCACACTTTACACTCTGACTTCATCAGATGGCTTTGACATTTCATACTAAGTTGTCTTTTCTTCAATATAAATTTGTGGCATGTGCTGTTTGTTGTGGGAAACTCGTTAAACAATTTTTGATTGCAAACTGAGCACTTTCTTTCAGCTCCAAAGGAAATACCACTTATTCCTTCTAAACTGAAACCAGCTGCTACCCCAGAAGTACAGCATGTGAAACCTGGTAATTGTGCACACCATTTTTATAAGTCGGTATGCAGAGACACATGTTCACTAAAAATATCGAAGCAAAACTTCCTAAAAAGGAGGGGAGCTATGCAATACATGAGCATCTTGACTAACTCATCATTCTAAAATCGGTCATTTGATGTTGCCTAACAAAAGGTATGAGAGTTAAGCTCATCAGTTTTATGCATTTGGATCCAGTGATAAAAATATGAACAAGTTCTCTAGTTTTGTAACCTTTTTAAAGGACTAGAAGGGAAAAAACTTCTTCTGGGTGGCAAAAGGGGTTTTTTTATATCACTTGTATAAACATTATATGTGATCATTATTTCTATAATCTCTTTTGCCAGTCCCCATCTCCACTTTCACACAGACATACTATGGTAAAAATGGCATCTTTGCTAGTCACAACAGTTTGTTGATTGAAAGTAAAGTACTAGTCATGTGATCAGTAAGTCCTCCTGCAGGGAACTCAATAGAATGGATTGCCATTTTAGTGGAAATAGGAGAGCTTTCTCAAAGTAGAAGGGGAAATTTTCATATACACATGAGATTCATTCTTTGACCATGGGAACATTATATGCGTGTCATGTCTTTTTTCCTTTTCTGCTTTTTGATCAAAAAATAGATCTCTGTACTCATTTTCTTCTGATTTGGGACTAAGGGAGATGAATTTGCCTCTTTTATTGATTCAGGTACTGGGCCAATAAATATTATGATGTGCATTACCAGAGCCCTAAAATGTTTCTGTTCTCATATCTTACAAACAGGGAGGTCAGTAAAAAGCAGGAGTTGCCTTTGACGTCTTATATGTGTCTTACAATCGACTGCAGGCTCTGATTTAAGATTTTCAGCAAGATTTTGGCATTTAGAAGTTTTCTCGTTGGTATAGATCCTCTGGTATTTGTTATGGACTGCAGTCTTTTCTTCAGTCAAAGCCCTTATCTGTCCTTTCTCACTATTCTCCCATAACATAAAAGAAATGTATTTGTTGATGGAATCAAACAATGGATTAAAAATGTGCTGAGAACATAAATACGGGGAAGGAGCCTCAGAAGCAAACTCTCACACGAGAGCATAGCCACGAGCATACAGTATAGATTCATAGGAAACAAAAATAAAAGGAGTGTAGGGTGTTATGTGTAAGAGTAGGACTTAGTTGCATGCTTATCTAGTCTATTTTAAAACAAACAAACAAACAAACCCCCGAACTACTGGAATGGTAACGCTTTTGGCTTACTGTTGATACAGCCACTGATTTGTTCGATTACACTCGAATTTTTCTTTTCTAGCCCCTAAACAACCACTTTTGGAGCCTAAAACTTCTCAGACCGTTGAACAACCAAAAGCAACACTAGGTAATACATGTTTCTGTAGCTGTTGGTCACTCTTCTTTGCAGTCCACAGCACAGTTTGTACTCTGTTTATTTAATCTATATTTAATCCATTTCTCTGGGAGAAGAAAAAGGTTAGGAAATAAGCATTCAGAAATACGTTTTTCTAAACTTAGGAGAAAAAGAAACTTGAGTTTTTTTCATATGGTTTTACTGGTTCTATAGTACAGTAAAACTTCGGGGATCAGAATTGTCTTCCATTTTGTTGGGAGTTTTTCTACACCAACGCACTTTACCCTCAGAAAATCATCAGAAACCCATTGGAAATACTATTGAAAGGCCAAGTGCAAGGTTAGTATTGTGAATGTTAATCCTAGAACTCTCAATGAAGGATTCCTGTGGCACTAGGTGGACGTGTTAATTCTGCTGTTCTATGCGTCATTCTGAATGTCATTTTGACTTGAAAAACACTTCTCAGTCACTTCATATGTCTTATTCTACGCTGTTCTTTCTATAAACGTCATATGCATTTGTACTGTGTCTATTGTTATGAAACTTTTTCTTGGAAAGAAGTCTCACAGCACTGCTTTATAGAAATGAACAAAGTTACTGACTGTACTACCTGAAACTCACCTTAAGCTTTATCTGATGTCAGATTAACAGTCATATTTAGCTAATTACAATTTCAGCCCATGCATGTTCAGGGGAAAAAAGTTTCTAGGACTGGTTGCTCTTAATTTTTACCATTTAGATGAAGCTACTTCTATTTTATTAACAGAATTCAATGACTACAGTTATGAAGCAATTCCCTTTTTTATTATTGATTCCATGTTTTTCCAGCTCCCTACCAGTAATTTCTTTACAGTAGGGAAAATTGAGGACATTTTTGCATATTTTGTCTACATATGTCTTTTGATGGCTTAAAATTGACTTGGAGTTCAAAAGGATAAACAGCATTATTATTTTACCTCTTAGGTATCTTGCAAAAATGAATTTGCTAACTTAATGAGAGGAACATTTTTATGTGATTGTAAGCTACAGTTACATATTGTAAATTTACTTACTGACTTTTACAGTGAAGATCAAGCAGGGATTTTGCTGGGGTAGTAAGTCTTAGGAAGATTTTTGAGAAGCCTTCTTAGCAAATCTGATTTCGCCATTTGCTTTTGTTGCTAGTAGCCATTTGTTGCTTCATTTCAGGCTTAACGAATGTGATTTTTATGTGATACAGTGGAAAGGATAATCTTATAATCCAGTATATTTCTTTCAGCTCCTAAAGAAGCAAAACTCACACCTTCTGCATCTAAACCTAGACCATCCGCCAGACACAAAAAGCCACCAACTAAACCTGGTAACTAACTTCTGTAACAAACATTTGTTACAATGTATCACTTAAGTAGTATAGTTTAAATTTATTCTGTGTGAAGCTCAGCACTCAATCATCAGAAAGATGGGCACTGAGGGGAGCTGTGCTCTTTGAGGAATACTATTTTTATATTGAACCAAAAAAATTTGAAGCAAAGCAAGAAAACTTTTAACTTTTATATCCCAAATCACCAAGTCGCATGGCCTCGCATTGAAACAAATTGTTTTCCTGCTTTTCATTTCAAAATAACAAGTTTTCCTACTTAGTTCAGCACAGGGTCCAGAAAATGCAAATTCTCCTGCTTTGCTGATGGTTATAGCATCTTACCTAGAACCACAGGATGTGTATTGATTCAGTGATGATTAATGCATATGTAGACTTAACCTGAAACTGTGGAAATAAGAGTGAAATTCTGCTCTGGAATTTAGTAAAGGCATATTTTATGATGGCAAATGAAATTGAACCTTCACACCGGGGTTGAATTTGGTCTGTGATGTATGTCAGAGAACAAAAGGCACCTGGCATTTTCTGGAGCTGAAGAATAAGTGAATGCAGTTACAAAAATATTACTAGTGTTACATGGTTTATAATGAAGTTAGAAAGCTTAGAATTGCATAATTGTATATTGTAAGAATATATTACTTAATCCTGAAGAGATCAGGCAATATTATTAAATTCTTTCCAGATTCTCTGTGATTATTATTTTTTTTTGTTCACAACAAGAATTACTCTCTTCAGACCAAATAATTCCTTGTGAAACTTGTTAACTAAATGGTATTTATGACTTGGAACTCTCTCAAAATAGTGTGCATAATTAGTTTTTCATGGTGATTACAGCTCCTACAACATTTTTAGTGTAGGAAATCCAGTATTGTATTACTAGAATAATTACATTTGTCTCTGCTGTAGATACCTATGTCTGAATATAGACCTGAGTCCTGCATGAGTTTTTTTTTGAAACGACAGAGAAAAAAACCACCTCATTTGGAAACTGTTGCATAAAATTGTTTTACGCCCTTGGACTGCCAAGATCAACACTGTATATTGATGTTTCCACAATGAATGGCTATATAACAAGTTTCTATATAACTACAAGGAAGGTGGCATGATTCTGTATTTGTATGCACACCTCTTGTTTGTCCTTTCCTTGTTAGTGGTTTCACTGATTGATCAGATGGAATCCTAAGAAACACTTTTTAATCATAATTAAGCTTGTAATGATCTTCCTGTAAGTAGGTATTTGTAAATTTGGCATTTGTTCTGATGGGACAAATGATGATATTCTTGTTCAGAAATTATTATTTGAGGCATAAAATATGCAGTGTGTGGGGATAACCTGGCTTTTGGGTAGGTGGCAAAACGGTCAAAGAGCAGGATCTCCTCTGTACTCCAGCATCACTTGGGAGTTCAGCTTAAGTTAGAAATTTGTGCCATGACAGTGGTTGTCACCTTTCCTGAACAGTGAATCAAAATAATGAAGAATATGTGCCAAATTCATGCTTGATCACTGATTTACTAATGACCCACTTTGAGTCAAACAGAATTCCTGAAAGTTAATTTTGGCTCTCATTGTTAAGAAGGCTTTTGTACTGTTTCTGGTAATGTATTTGTCTTTTAGCAGTGGAGCAAAAAACTTCATTTAAAAAAAAACCCCAACATGTAAACAATTTTCAGTTTTTCCAACCAACCAACTGTACATTCTAGTGAAAGTTTGCAACTTCATTCTTTTTCATGATATGTGGGTAATTGAATCTGTTGCCTGCATGAAAAAAAGTTCTTGTTGCCAATGTGATGATGCCCAACCACTGTGCTTACTTGTATTATTGTTAGCATTAATCTCTCTATCTAAGCATACTAAGTTCTCCATTTTTCAGGAAAGGACATTCTAATGAATTTTCTACCATGCATCCAACTGCACTGCAACATTTTCTTTCCAGAAAAGTACAAGAATAGCTCCTTATAATGAACCCCTGTTGAGTCACTGTGGATGCATTATAAATTTGCACTCTCTTTTGGCTCTAGTACAAAATGCCATTCTTCGTATGCGTCCATGCATTTCCACTTGTGTGATATGAGACTTTTGCAAGAGAACTGCAGAACTGTTTTAACAACAAATGGACAGACCTTATCTGTTGTAGAGGAGGATCTCAACCACCTACTATTTGTAAATTTCCATAGTCTCAATACAGTACTGAAGTTAAGATAATGTTAGATAGATTGGTGCATACATGTAGTTGTTCCTTTTACGGACTTCTCTCCCTTACCAGGACTATGAGGGTCCTGGAAGGACTTCTAAACATGCAACTTCTGAAGTATAGTCATACCAGAGAACCATGCCTTCTCAGCCTATGAAAACTCTGCTTGATAACTTGGTGCATGTCTTTCTTACTATTTTCTGTCCTTCAAAGTCTCAGGTTACCTGGGTGCTCAGTGCTTACAACCCAATAATCTGATAAATAATATCAAGAGTAACTTTTATGTCCAAGTCCTCTTCTATTGTCTGGGAGTTTTATTTAGATGCTCTGCTTTCAGAAATGTCAGAGTAAATGAAAGGCATTTTATTTCCTCCCAATCTTATTCTCTTCTCATCATCATTCTGAGAAATCCATCTCCCAGCTCAACCTTTTCTTTTTATCTAGAAAAGTCTACATGAAATGTGAATTATATATCTATTAATGAACTTTTTCTAAATGGACTGAGAAGAAATCATTACCAGAGACTTCTAGAATCTCTTTAGGATCAGGAGGAGGATGGCATTGTTGAATTTTATGTTTGAAAAAACAAAGACATGAAAAAGAAAAAACAGATCTGAGTGATGTAAGATTAATCAGAAAAACATGGTGCAATGAATATATGGCCCTAGGTTAGTTCTGAAAGAATGTGCAAAGTACCTAACCTGTAGGTTAGTATGCTTCTTATTGGATGTCCCTGCTTGGATTTAGAGCAAAGTGTAGTGCTGAGGCACAGATACGTTATGCAGTACTCAGTGCTGCCAGGTGTAGAAAAGTAGTGTCCAGTTGTTAAATAGGAAAGAATTCCCTGCTGATCGTTGTCATGACAGAGCAGTACTTCCACATGTGGCAGTTCAGAGAAGAACTTGGCAAAGAACAAAGAGATCCTGCTAGTGAATGATTTTTCCGTAGTTGCTCCTGTGTATTCTCATTCTTCACCTTTTGACCCCAACTAGTATCAGAGCCCTGTGGCTGGGAGCAAGAACTGATTGCACTGGCTGGGGTGGGTTTTTTTTTTTCTTTTTAAAAAGAAAGGTGCTGTCACTTCACGTGAGCCACTTCATGCATTATCATTTTCAATGGCATGGCTTTAAAGGGCATTGCCCTGAAGAGAGATTTACCTACCCAGCGAACGTTACTTTAGAGATCCGGTTCCCAGAGAACATAGGAAAACTTCATAATTGCTCTCTGTTGGAATGTTTTTTCAACTTTTCAGGCCCAGTAAAGCTTCTCCTTCCAAACCTGAAGTCTTTTTGCATCCAGAATAGCTTATGACAATGCTGGGTAATTGCTATGTCCTTTCACAGAATCACAGATTTGTTGACATTGGAAGAGACCTCTGGAGTTCATCTGGTCCAACCCCCTGCTCAAGCAAGGCTATCTAGAGCCAGTTGCTCCGAACCACGTCCAGACAGTTTTTTAATATCTCCAGGGATTGAGACTCCATGGCCTCTCTGGGCAACCAGTTTACTTAATTGCCCAAATTATTTGTCCTGAAGACGTTTTGGAGTATTTTTCTTTCTTAGAGTAGTTGCAATAATATCAAATACATCAATCATTAACTATAAAAAATGCCAGTAAATAAATGAGGGAAGATTTAAAAGTCTGAATGAAATATGTCAACTCCTTTATTCAGTCTTTTAAACTTAAACACAGTCCCCCCAAATATAATCTCCTCATCATAAACCTTCATGGAAGGAAATAGAGACTTTTAAATTAATAAAATAATTTTATATCCAAACTGACAGAGTTTTGGAAGTTTTAGGTCTCAGATTTTATTGTATTTAAAAGTTTTAAGATAACTTCCTCAAAATGAGTGTACTTGTGAGTCTTAAAATGTTTGTGAGCTTCAACATGACAATTTGTCAGTATGTCCAAAAATGAAGTTTGAGGCACATTATACAAGATTTGTAAATCATTTTTTCTTTCCTAATTAAAATCTGTATCATCATAGAGAGAGAGCACACCAGGAAGTATAGGTAATAAAAGGTAGGCTGAGAAGAGTCAAAGCAGAGTAAACAAGTGAAGTAAAGTTTGAAGGTTTGGATAAGCACATTGATTACTTAATGATTGTAGACATATTCAGGAATGAAAATGGACTCCACTTGTAAAGTCATGTTATTTAATACTAAACAATTCTACCAACTTTGTCTTCAAAGTTCTTTATATTTTTCAGAGTCTTTGGAGTTCTTTCCTTTCAAACCTAATTAATTACTCTGGATAGAGATGGGAAGCTTTTTAACTTGATTATCTAATGTGCTGTAGCACTAGATAACCTACTGGTATCTTCAGCCTTACTTCCTGTGACGTTGCAGTTATTCACACCTGAAATCTTTCACATCTAACATTTGCACCATTGTGGAAGAAACTCAAGAAAATTAATAGAAAGATTTACCAAAGAAAAAAGATTTCTCTGGAACCGTTTCTTTTCAGTGGTCTACAGTCATAAAGAGAAAAAAAAAAATTGTCAGGAAAACAGGAAGATGAAGACTCAGAGAGCTCCTCTGCCAGTGGTGTTCCTGTAGCATAAATGCACCTTTTATTTTCAAAAAGCAGCAAAAGCTGCACAGGGTAGTTACTGGTGCTTAAGAACATTCAGTAAATTTATTACTTACTCAGTGTTTCCATTTGAATAATGGGGAGGAGGTGGATTTTAATGGGGAAGCAAGAGCAGCTGAGCCATACCAGAAGTTGAGAAATAGATATAGATGCACCTGTATTTCTCTCAAGAAAATTCTCTTTATTCCAGCAGCAACCATTCCGGTGTCAGTCACTACTAGGAGTCCCTACACATATGAACGTCCAAAGACTGCAGAGGGTAATGATTGCGAGTCATTTTTAGTCATTCTTCTCTCCATTGGTCTGATGATATGTGCAGTTGAAAACACCATTTCCTGTAGGCTTCTTGCTTATTCATATGTGGTCCAAACCCAACAAATGGAAGTACAGTCTTGGTGCTTTATTATTTCTCCATGTTTCTAGCATGGAGATATTGTCTTCTAAAAGACAGGTTATAACTTTAAAGGTATCTGATTAGAAGATTCAATTACATTAGGAAAAAACAAGAATAAGAATTATTGCAATAATAAACATTTTATGAAATACAAAAATAATATACTTAATCTAAAAATCACATTTAAAACTACAAACTACTGAACAATTTCTGCAGAAGGGGGAGTTCCTTGTTGCACATAATCAAGCATTGCTTGATAATTTCTCAAATTTATGGAAAATATTGCATCCAATATTAATCCATGGAAACTTGCATTCAATTTAAGAAAATAAAATAATTCTAGTTTTAGTGAGGAGGAAAGTTTATATAAAGTAACACATGATCATTACCTTTTTTGATATGGGAATATATATTTAGTGATGTGTTTAATAAATAGGTTTTTTATGTAGACTAAGAACAAAGGTGTCCTTTGCAGTGAGCCTTGAAATGTTCTATCTAATTCAAAGGAAGATTTGAGTCATTTGCATTTACTTTGCAGATTGTATTCTGAGAAGCACTTTAAGATGTTTTCAGAGGTATAGCTTTGCTCTTTAAAACCTGGATGAAGCCAACTACATATATAATACTTTACTGGACGAGGATGGCTTTAAGTCTGTGCTTAAATGATTTCATTACATAGAATCAATTTCATTTGGTTAATTAGCAACAAATCACTTAGATTCACTGTTTCCAACTGCAATAAGTTCTACTTCATAAAGTACTCTCAAAACTCTTCTAATGACCTTGATTTGCCAAGGTCAACATTGGATAACAATGTTTTCTTAACATCGTTTCTTAGCTCTCTTTTCTTTGGCTTTTGGCTAAACTCTTAGATGTTCTTCTGCAGCAAAATTAGCTTCTAACTCTTTGATTATCCCTTTCTTCAAAGGCTCTGTCTGCTTGTTTTGCCCACATCCAATAATATTTCATGCATTAAACCCATAGCACCATTCTTTTCTGTGTTTATTCATTGATACGAACTGAAGGTCATTTCCTAGACTTCATTTCTTCATTGCTGAATGTCTGCGGGACACCATTTACTTTCAGCTTAAATACTGGTTTTTACAAAAAAAGTTTTTTCCAGTATCTGAAATGACAATCCACACATTCGAAGCCCAGATCATCTGCTAAGACCAAAACACCTCAAGCTAAATCAGATAGGGCACACTTCTTTTGAAACTGTGTACTTTGAGGCTTGCTATTAGTGCAGAAAGTAAAAGTGAAAAACTTCAACTTTTTTTCCTGGAGGAGGAGAGAAGGAAGTTGTTCATTATTTTGGGATAATATTTATACAAAGAGAAACCAAATTGCCTCAGAAAGCAATTTGCAGACCTAACAAAGAATTTAATTTTATTCTGAATATCTGAAGTTTTTTTTTCTTTTTAAGAACTCACTGATTTTTTGAAGGCAACCTGAAAATAGAAATGAGTGTTTTATGGAAAATGATTCTGAATTTGAATTCTGAAGGTAATTTATGAGCTTGAATAACGGCAAAGTCATTGCAAACCAGGGATACAGAGTGAGCACATTAGAAAGATTAGTAACTAGTTCAAGTTTTCTATACAGTAGCTGGCCATTGTTGACAGAAATAAGTTAATGCTGGTTGTTTTGGCTTTTTTTCTCATTTGCAGCAGTATTAATACTAGGCTATATTATACTGTGAATGTTAATAGAAGTGTAAGAAATACTGTAGTATCAAAAGCATCAATTGCAAACAGTTTTATAGTTTTGTTTATTGTAAATGCTATTTTTAAAACAGGTAGATGTATAAGAGAGTTTGGGAGATAAGTGAGTATAGGTTATAGAAAAGGTTCTATCTTTAGGTGTGTGTGTCTATGTTATATGTTACTCTAGTTTTTACTGCCTTGAGAGGGGATAATTTATCAATTAATGTTATTTTAATATATTTTCTGTACTGTCAGGAAATTTTTATAGATTCTGCCATTTCATAATTTAGGATTGTGGGGGTTTTTCCCTTTTTTTTCCCAATTTGTCATAGTTTGTGAGGAGGAAAAGGATATGATGTATTGTTTTTGTGATCCAAATTATAAGAGGATATAAAGAGAAAAAACTAAGAGGCTTTATCAAAATAAGCTTTTTCAGATAATTATATAGCTGTACCAATAGCAGCGTTTTAGTCCTCTGCTTGACCGCTCACCGTAGAGGAAAACTTCAACTGTTTTGTCATGGTCAGCATGCCACTTTCAAGTAGTAGCAGACATCAGTTAGGGGATACCTGACATTTTTGTATATCAAGAGTCCCTTGCTGTCTCCGAGTTCAGCTGTGTGATCTCTTCCCTTGCTTGTTCTAGGATTTACTGATTTCTACTGATATATTTTGGCTTCCGTTGCCATCAAGTTTGTGCAATTATATTTTTCTTATTGAATCTGTATTATTAGGAAGTTTAATTGTCCATGGTTTTAAAAAGTAAAAGTTAATTTGAAGATCTGCATTACCATGGTGTAGTATTAGCACCTGCTTTTATACTTATCGGTGGAGTAATTTTAAGGTTTTTGGAGTATGTTCCATACTTACCATGTCACACTCGTTCTGTTGCAGTCTCGGAAGCAGTTACGAACCTATTACACTTAGAACTGAACCATCAAGGTCAAAAATAGGTAGTGATATTTCCTTGGCAAGCTGTTGTGTTTGCTTTTTTCATCACAGAAAGCATCACTGAAGTTAATCACCTTATGCCTTAGGATTGTTTCATTAAACTTCATTTTTCTTCTAGATAATTCTCTTGCTTGGTATTCATGACAGTTGGGCATATTGCTTTCTTCACAGTTGGAACGTCTCATTTTTTTTTTAAGAAAACGATGCTGGCAGCTCTGAATCACCTTTCTCATAATTATGCTTGTCTGTGCTCGTCCCAGCTTTTTATTTAAAAACAAACAAACAAACAAACAAACAACTGAGCTTCAAAAATGACTAAAATTCCACTCTCTTGCTTAGATTGTTGTAAACACACGGAGAGTATTACCTGACTTTCTTTCCTACTTCCTATAGACTTTTTTTCTCTGTTGCAGGTGTGAGGTTTCTGGGTTTGTGTGTTCAACTTGATATCAGAAACTAGTTGCTGTGCTATTTAACCAACTCATTACCCACATTTTCTCTTCCAGCTCCAAAGGAGACTCAACGTTTTCCTTCTAAACCTAAAACTTCATCCAAACCTCATATCCCACAGGCCAAAGATGGTAAACTGCTTTGTGTGATTATTTCTAATACATTTTATATTGGATTGAAACTTATTTCTGAGCAGCTGTTTAGTTATCTGAGCCAGTTAAAACATAATGGGGTTCTGTTCTGCTGTGTCCAGTGATTTATTTGCAGGTTTCAGGAGTAGTGACATTCACTAGGTATTTTTCATAATGTAAAAGTATAAATCTCTGCTACTTCATGGCAGCAGGATGAGAATATTGTTGTTAAACTCAGATTACAGTGGTAACTAAAGCAAATACCTGGCAATTATTAAAGTATGTATTATGGCTACTTAGGTGGTACAATTCTTTCCCACATTCCTTTGCATTGTTAGGATAAATACATTTCCCTTTTAAGTCACAATTACTTAATTTCATGACATTATTATTTTCCGCATGAACAAGTAAATTACCCAGTGCATAGTTACTATTTGTTTATAAATATTAACATTTATTAGCATTAATGGTCATTTATGCTGTATTCCAAAATACTGGATGTTTATACTATGTCATTAAATGTGAGTGCAGTTGAATTCAGTGGTAGGCAGAAAAAAATTACTCTCTGTCCTCTGCTATCCAGTTGGTAATATCAACAGAAAATTACAAGGGTATCAAATATCAACATGTGTCATCTTTTGGTAAATGTGAAAAATTTCATTATAATCACTTTAGTGAAGATCTTTAAATTGTAGACATGGAGCAATATTTTTGAAAGCTGATGTTATCTATTAAATATGATTTCCTCATGTAGAAAACAGTCAAAATCCTTGTTCTCTCATGATTTTTTAACCATGACAGCTGATTATAAAACATTTTTTCCAAACGACAACTTAAAATGCAACTTGTTATAAACTGTGGCCATTTTTCATTATTATGGTAGTCTGGCCTTCTCAAAAAATGGTTTTGTCACACAAATGCTACAGGTTTGTACTGTTCTGTGTTTAAAAAAAAAAAAAAGTTACTGTTTCTTCAAGAATATAGTATACAGAACTTTTTTTATAGCATCATCCTCTTACCTTGTGATTGTCTTAAAAGATCAAAGAAATTTTTTTTCATTGTCACTCATACAGAAGAATTGACACAGAGAGGGATACCATTTCTATTGTGCCTCTGTTTCTAATGTGGGAAATGCAAGAAAATAGCATCAATTTCACATCTTTATGCTACTTAAACACCCAGTTTTATTTTAGATCCATACCAGTTTAGAGCTGAAGTATATGATCGTGCAATGCAATACACTGTAATGCTTTTTAATAACATAGCATCCAGAAAACAAGCAAGTGGTCTCTGATTCCAATTGTATATATAAGCTGCATTTGAAACACACCACAAAGGGAAGAGATCTGTGTCCCTAAAAAGCCATTTTCAGAATAAGGGGGTGATACATATTTGGATATCTCATTGAAGCCCATGGGAGAAACTAAGCTCATTATGTTTCAGCTTACACTGCTTTCTCAGAGACTTCATTTAGTATAATAGTTTTTGTATGAGGCAGTATACATAGTATATATTTCAAAATGCAGTTACTAGACAAGTAATACTAATTGTAAGTGGAATTATGCTCTTCAATTTTCATAATAGCTTTTATGTTTTGTTTATGATACAGTCCTGGAATCTATAACATTTAGAACTGATCAACTAAAACCAACAATAGGTAACACTTTTACCTACAGGGACCATCACATTTAGCTTTTTTCTTAGTATACACCAAGCATCACAAGTACATCTTCATTGTACTCCACTGTTATTTTTTACTATTAAATTTAGTCCTTCTGTAAGGTTGGGTTTTTTTGTGATTTTTACACTAACAATTCACAATCATCTCGTTTGGGTTTTCTCACACAAATGTGTTCTGTAAAGTGGATGGAAGCACCACAATCTACCTTTGACTACATGTCTCTATACTCAGTTTCTGTCATGTGCTGCTTCATCTTTTATACTAGTCCATCCATACCGGCCTTGCTTTATGTTATCCTGTTAGAGAGGTTCTCTATCAGCACTATTTCTTTGTATACCAGACATTCATACTTCTCCATTACTCACACAAGCTTTTTGTGTTTCCAGAGGGTCCCAAAGGCATGTGTTCTTTTTTAATATTATGCCTTCTGTCAGTCTCAGTTCTTGAATGACTTTTATAGTTGCATTTTTTTTTATTTCAGTTCCAAAAGAAACACAGCGTGTTCCCTCCAAACCTAGAACATCACCAAGCTCAGAGGTTCCACAAACCAAACCTGGTAAGTACATTGTTTCTTTATCTTATCATACTGATATGTGTTTTATGAATGCTACCATCATCAGTGGAGCTTCAGATTTATATGCATCCCTTGGGCATATATGTTGGAGCATTCCTTGAGGGATAAAATCCAGTATCACATGTCATGACATGTGGAATTTATAAGCAACCTGGTAAGTTTAAAATCTCTATCTTCAGTTCTTTTTTACATTTTAAGTCACTGCAACAGTGGGCATTTTCTGTGCAGCTGTCAGTGAAAATAGGTCTTTTCTGTGTAAATTTGCTTGGGTTTTGAGAAAGTGAAGGTGAAAAGCAGCGGTGTCAATTGCAAAGAGGAAGGGGTTTTTTTCTGTATTTCTCAAATTGTGTACTTGTTTTTTCTTTCCCAGGCGCAATCATTCATTTATACTTTTCAGTTCACTTTTGCAGAGCCCTTTTGTTGTTCGGAGATTTAAGAACATGTAATACTTTCTATAACATTGTTCACACAGCTTGGAATAGAGCAATATACAAGTGCGGGCTAATTAAGGATGGAGGAAGAAAGTTATACAACTCACACTAGCAATTGCATGAGGTACTGTGGTGGGTTGACCCCGGCCAGCAACCAAGCACCCACTAGCCACTTGCTCATTCCACCCCACGATGGGTTGGGGGAAAGAATCAGAGGCACAAAAGAGTGAAAAAAAATCGTAGTTCAAGATAAAGACAGTTTAACAAGTGAAGGATAAAAAGATGGGAAAAAAACAAGTGATAACGGCAACCACTCACCACATCCCACTAGCAGACCAACGCCAGTCTAGGAGCAATGGGTCCTTTGGAAACACTACCCCCCAGTTTTGTTGCTAAGCATGGCATTATATGAGGTGGAATATGCCTTTGGTCAATTTGGTTCAGCTGGCCCGGCTGTGTCCCCTCCTAGCGTCTTGCCCACCTCCAGCCTACTTGCTTGGGGGCAGAGTGAAAAACAAAGAAGTCCTTGGTGCTGTAACAAGCACTATTCGGCAATAGCTAAAACATTGCTGTGCTATCAACATTGTCTTGGTCACGAATCTAAGACAGAGTACCAGAGGGGCTGCTATGAAGAAAATAAACTCTGACTCAGCCAGACCCAGTATGGGTATCCAAGCTATATGCAGTATTAGACGGTGCTGTTGGACAAATGGGCAGAAAGATGACAACTAAGGTTCCTTTTTGTAAGTCTGTGCCTATTGTTTGAATCAAAACCTTGAAATAAGTCAGGAAAGTGCACAAAGTTGAAGGTGAAAAACCACCCACAACTTCTTTGTGGCTTATTACAAAAGCTTCAGATTTATATTTGGGCTCTGTTCTGTATTAAAGCTATTGCCTAGAACTGGAGGCAATTCTGAGCAACGTAATACTCTGACATGTATTGAGTTTCAGGGAGGAGTGACCATCTGTCATTGGCTGTAGCAAGGATGGTATGGTCATTGTGGAGGTAGTGATTGTAATGTTTTGATTGTTCTCGGTAATACTTGTTTTTGGTTTTTATCACTCTCATGCAGTTCTGGAACCAATTACGTTTAGAACTGAGAAACCAAAGTCAACAATAGGTAATGACACTTTCTTACTTGAATAGTCATGTTGTCTTTCCTCTTCAACGCAAATCATTAAGCATAGGCCTGCAAAAATTTGTCACTTTTCTTTCTATGTGCCTTAATAATTTAACAGTTAAGATTCTCTGTCTCTTATTTTCTACAAAACAACTGAGGAGGATCCTTGTGCCTTTCAAGTTGTTATGCACATAACATAGGGCAATTTTCTTCAATATTTAATGATAAGAGGCAGAGGGCAGATCAGAACAGGATCGTAATCATACTGTAGAGGTAGAACTGTTCTAGTTAGTCATATGGTTTGGGTGAGCAGAGTTGCATGCTGCAAGTTTTCTTTCTCTGCTTCCCTTCCCCTCCAGTTTTACTAAATGAAATTCAGTCCTTCATAGAGGTCTGAAAAATAGTTCTGTTTCACTCAAACCTTAATTCCACCGTCAGAGCAGAATAACTTCAGTGATCTTTGGGTCATATGATTTCTTGAGGCAGATCCATTTGACTAAGGCATTTTTATCATTTGAATCTGGTACTGCGAATCATTCCAGTACAACCTCCATTACAGAGCAGTGGTGCCTTTGTATGTGAAGCTACTTATTTTGTTTTCTTCTTTTTTTATTTTTTTAAGTCTTCTTCTTAAATAGAACCAGTAATTCTGTCACATGCATCTGTCACAGAAGATTATTTCTTTTCTGTATAGCCTGATTTTGTTCCAAGAAAAACTTCTCTTTTGCATCACTTCCATAGAATATCTTTGGTTCAAATCTTTGCTGTTTTTGTTGACTGTTATGTGTGGTAGTGGACACTGATACCTTGGAAAATTTTAGTACGGTGTAACCCGGTTTCTTTCTTTCAGCTCCTAAAGATACACGTCATGGGCCTTCCAAACCTAAAACATCACCCAGTCCACGTGTTCCTCCAACTAGAGCAAGTAAGCTTATGAATATTTTGCCCTTTAGTGCATGCAAGTTTTTATCAGTTTGAAAATTGTCAAAATAGATGAGTTCTCTGAAGGTACACAGATACTTTTTGAATATATTGTGTTTTACAGACATAATCAAATTTTGCTATATAGCTGTCATGGAACAAGTTAATCAGCTAGATATTTATACATGTCAATAACTTGTATAATGGTAGGGATGTGGAGGTTAACACTCATCTTGAGCCCTTGCACATAGAAAAATTTGTGTCTTAATTTCCATACAATGTGACAGAGGTGTTTGTATTTTGTAGTTACTCATTTACAAATGTAAAATCACAGTACTTTCCTGTTCCCAAAACTTTGAAAATAGTTCTGTCCATTTGAAAATTAGTGGTAAATTTCCATGTTTCTTTTGCTCTGACTGCTTTGCTGGCGATTATTTTTTAATGCAAAGTTGATTTAAATGAGCAGCAGATTTTTGGAATATGAAACACTTGAATAGCACAACTAGGGGAACTGTTAGAACTACAACAGTTTACTCTTGAGAGAGTTCTGTTTGAAAGAGCTGAGAGGATTGGAGAGTTAATCCAACACTGCACTGTAACAGTCACTTTGTCTTTAGTCTCTGCCCTAACATAATATTGATTACATTGACAGGAGATCTCTTTGTGATTATTTTCAAATGGAAGAAATACTTCCTAAAAAAATCTTTGCAGAAAATGAACTTCCTGTCAGGAAAATCAAAAGACTTATGTTGAATCATCATCCTCAATAACAGGTTCAAAACTTTGCTCGTCTTCACAGGTCCAAAAGAAAGTCGGCGAGTCTCTTCCAAGCCCAGAGCATCACCAAGTCCAGATGTACCACACACAAAACCTGGTAAATACATTGTTGTTTTGTTGTGCTTGAATATTTGGGGTTTCTTTTGGGTTGTCTTTCCTCAATGAATCAAGTGTTGGTTAACATCTCTTCATATTAAAAACAAATAGATTTTCTAATTATCATTAAATACACGTTTAAAGGAAGATAGAGCTGATTTGTGTTTTTAATGGCTGAGTTTTGATGAGTTGTATATGCTTTTCAGCCACATGACAGCTGTCACTGATGAAAAATCTGCATAGCAGGGTAGACAACATACACACATTATAAGAATGTTCTTGGAAGAAATTGCCTCTCTTCTGTGCCTATCAAAAGATGCTTAGAGAAAAACATATTTGAGGGCCTTTGTGTATGACTCCAAATATCTGTAACTCAAACCACTCATATGTTTGTGTACCCTGGTAATGGAATTTGACCCTTAAAAATATACTTAATAGGGATTTACATACTAGTGAACTGCCAAACCTCTGTAACTCCTGATGGTTCTGAAAGCATCAGTTGAACCTGCCTTTTGAGTGAGTGCATATCCACTAATTCCACCAATAAATAATTTAAAAAAAGAAAAGAACAAATTCAAGTACGTGTTCCAATTTGAAAAGAAATTAGTCATGTGAAAGGGAGTATTTTTACCCTTTTGCTTGTACTTATCGCTAATTCTCTGTACATTCTTGTTTTTATGAAGTCTTGGCACCTACTACATTTACAGTTGAACAACCAAAGACAGCAACAGGTAAAGATGTTACCTTGGGCTAGTCATCATTGTTTTTTCCCCGCTCCTCCTTGGACCAAAGATTATATATCATTAGTCTGTTTTTCACATCATCTGTTTGTGGTTTTGATTTGTTTTCTTTTCTACTTACTGAACTTAATTCTACTCTGTTCCAGGTATTGAAAGATTCCCTGCTGTTCTGTTGCCTTCGCAGAAAATTTCTTTCACTCTCACACACATTGTAATTCCTTTGACACTTGTAGGAGACAAGCATACCATGGGTATTGCAGTTATGAGCTCTGAAATACATATGGAAACATGTCCGCTATAGTTGTCTGTGTTCTTTCAGTTTTTGTTGCTTGACTCCAGATTTTGCTTACTTGATCAATTTTCCACCCATGTTTTCATTCATGATTTTCTTTTCTCTTTAAATTCTTGTATGTATCTGACACTCACTTTTCCAGTCTGTCATGTAAGGATCTTGTTTTTCTTTGCAAGCACGAGGCATGCAGTGCCTGTGCAATAAACCTGTCTAATTTCTGAAGAGTATAAACCCTTAAAACAGGTCTTTTCTTTCAGCTCCTAGAGAACCACAACATACACCCTTTAAACCTAAAGCAGCTCCCATCCCAGATGCTCCACACAGCAAGCCTGGTAAATTGTTGAGCTGCGGTTGATAATTGAGCAACTGCTTTCAGGGCGGGCAGTGGGGGGAGTTGTCAACAGTACACTTGCTGTTACCTGGGTATCACTGTAGCTTAAGAAACCTCTGCAATGCTGCAGTTAAGTCATACCACTGATGGAAACTACAACAGTTTAAGATTTTTTTTTTATATTATGTCGATATTACCAGAAGAAGAAACAGTAGTGACCTGTATGTTTAAATCAATGATGAAAAGTTTTTCACAGCTTGTATCTGAGCAACACGTGTCAGTTGTTTGCACCATGTTTATGAGAGAAGCCTCTTAAAGCTGTTGCAGTGCTTTTCCTTTATTATACACATTTTCATCCAGATTAGACTGAGGCTTCCCTTCAGTTGTATTTCAATTAGGAGACTCCCCATCATGAATCTGGCTGACCTGTATAAGATAATCAGTGATTTCACTGAAGGGTTGTTATTGTTGTTTTTTAAGTATCTAGATGTTAAAAACAAACAAAAAATCAAACCCTTTGTAACCATAAATCTCTGAGGGTAAATGCCCATTGGCTGTTTTAAAACATCCCTTTCCTGGTGTATATAGTATAGTGCTGAAAGTTTTTTTCAAGGGGGCGGGAGGGAAAGGGAGAGTCTCTTCATTATTCTGAGCATTTATCAACATTTTTTCCAACAGAAATCATTCCAACCTTCCATGAACCAGATACAACTATGATTCCTCATATTCCTGAAAGATCAAAGGCAACATTGGGTAATCATGTGTATTTCATAAATAATTACTCTATTTTCCGTTCTTGTTAGAGAAGATATTCTTAGAGTGAGCTCATTACATGATATTAAAAGCTAATAATGAAGTTTTGCTCTGCTTCTAGATAGTTGCTTGCCCTTTGGTCTTCATAAGGGTAATAATGCATGAACTCATTTACTTTTGAAGGTTCTTTTCCTTGTCTTCTAGCCTTTCCAGTCAGGATGATGTAATTCCTTCAGATGTTATATATTTTCCAGTAAAAGGGGACTTTATTTAACAGGTAGTGATTCCTATAATTGCTGCATCTGAGGTATGGATGCTGTCATCCTAAAATACTCTTCTGCTTCACTCCTCATGGTATAATTTTACAGAAGAAAATTGCAAGAAAATGATAAGGTATCAACTATAGCATAACATGTACTGAAACAGACCGGCTACGTGACCCTCCAAATCAAATATTAGTTCTTAAAGCCATCTTCTCTGCTAACTTCTAGTCATCCGTGTTGGGAAAACTTACTGAAATATATGAAACATTAGCTGAGGATTCTTTCTTCTTAACTTAAATGTCAGATGTGGACCAAATAGCAGTCAACAAATCTAAGCAGTATTGGACAGCAGGAGTATTGCTTGAGCAGTCTTTGTTACTAATTAGTTCTCTGTCCCCAGTTTCAGAGATAGGCATTGACCATGATTTTCTGAGAATGAAATGGTATCATTAATGAAGTATTAATAGCCTTTTAATAATCTTCAAACCGTGTTTTTTCTTTTTGAGGAATAGGAAATGAAAAATGCTTTTCATCATGTTTCTATTTTAATATATATTCCCTGTATGCATTGATACTTAGGTTTAGTATTCATTGGATATCTCTTTATATGGCTTTATGAAGTTTATGTGCCCTGTCATACACATCTGGGGCTACCTGATGCAATATTCATATGCAGAAAATGGTTCTTCAGAGCAATGGGGATGAAGAATGCACAGGCTAAGGCAGGTATTTTGAGGACCTCTCACATTGGTGTGGCTCACAGACTAGCAAGTGCTAAGATAACCTTTTCCAGTAAATGATTCCTACATGGCAAGGATTTTTAACTGAATAGTATGAATATAACAAGATTTAATAGTTCCCACATAAGAACAAAGAAGTTAATTTATAAATCAAGTCTGATATGAAGGGTCCACTGAAAAATAGATCCTGTCCTCAGATACTCATGTATGGCAGGTGTGGCAGGTGTAGGCTACTACTGTCTATTTTTGTCCTGTTACTTTGCTGTATGCTGTTCGTGACTATATTCTTCACTGCTTCATCCAAAGCTACAACTCTGTATATAATTTTGGGGAAGTCTGTCTGTGTCAGCGGCCATTTAATTTCTTTTCCTTTCTTTGCAGGAATTCCAACTGACTGATTTTCAGCTTTATCCTTACATAATTTGCCTTATTACAGATCAGATTGTACTATGTTCCTTGTGTACTATGAAAGCAGTGTGTTTTTTCAATTATTGTTCCGGGTGCTGTTTGTTTTTATTTCAGCTCCAACTGAAAAACAGTTCATTCATGCCAAACCAAAAACATCTGAAAAACCAAGAGTGCCACACACCAAACCTGGTAATGGAGTAATTATTTTCGTTTTGTGTGTTTGTGTTTAATTATTCTTTCCCTTAGCCTCGGGTTTTGTGCTTTTTATCAGAATTATTCATAGCTGGTTTTGTGCTGAAACAAATGCATTACACTTAAGTCAGTTAGTCCAAAATATGCCAAAACTACACTGAAAATAATAGTAGGATTTGTAGTATAGCATCAAAAATGTTTTTCCACCTTTCTATTACATATAGCAAATGATGACTGAAATGTGGTAATGTGCGTGTTAACAAATTTTAGTGGCTAGATAGGCTGAGTTCTCTCTGATTACTTCCTGGTAATCAGAGATGCTTCTCTGTGAGCGTTGTTTTTTTTTTTTAAATCCATAAAATGCCTCAGAACTCCTTTGCAATGTGCTTGTACAGTTAGCAACTGACATTGTGTGCTATACTGAAACACAAGTAGTCTTAAAAATAGTTACGGGGGCTGTGTCTCTTCCCATTTTTGCTGTATAAGAAATGTATAGGAGAAGTTAATAGAAAGATAATGATATCTGTCAGCAGTTGATTTTTAAGATATTCTGCTACACTTTAGTTTGGAGCATTTTGAAAGTTTTTGAAATAGTGCAAATGCTACTTTGTTTCTATTACAGTTTAATATTCTAAGATTCTTCACATTTTCTCCTTAACAGCAATACATCAGACAACTCCACAACCAATTATTACAAAATCTTCTATTACCACTGAGCATTCAAGGGCAACAATGGGTAAATAAGTTTCCTTAAAGTTAAGATGCAGGTATTTTTTTATTTTTCAGTGGAGAAATTTCCAGAGAACATGCTCTGGTGTGGTATTTTGTGTAACATCATTCCACTATCCTTCATTCTGCTTACACACATGCATGTTTCTTAATACAGATGAGTCTCAGTTCTATCCTAGAAGTAAAGCAGAACTAGCCGACAGCTCATGTCTGGTCAGAAGCCTGTATTTGTGAGATTTCCAACCAAATGCAGTGGTCTAATTTTTCTTTTAGAGCAAGAATTTTAGCCACTAACTCAACTTATCCTACAGCACAGTGCTAGAACTTTTCTGTGTTTTGGGTAGTCATTTTGTTTCAGGTTCCAGAAAGCCACGGAATTGTTATTGTCTCTTTTTCAGGCATTTGAGGCATACATTTTCTGTGAGCTAAATATGGCATTGGATCGTGACTCCTGAAGAATACAATAATATTTTTCCTTTTCTTTCAGCTCCAAAAGAAACACTGCTTATTCCTTCCAAACCCAAAACATCTGTCGGGCCAGAAGTACTGCAGACTAAATCTGGTAATTTAAAGTTTGTAACTTTAGAAGTGTTATTGTGGCACTGCCTTAGTGACACTTTCTGCTCTCATTCAGTACTGCAGTCATGTGACATGCATGATATGTAGACAGAAATTAGTATCATTGTTCAGCTCAGAGTATGTTAATAAATTATATCAAAGAGAATGCCCAAGAATTGCATCAATAATTTCCATGGAGAGCAGAAGTTAAGATGGTTGGGTTTTTTAACATTTGTTTGTTGAATTGGTGGGTAGTAGCCATTAAAATGTGAGGAATTCTATTAGTTTTAACAAAAATATACTGCTGTAGCCAGCTTCAATAAGTTATTTTCTTTGGGGGGATTTTATTACCCTAAATACATTTGCTTCAATTTCTGAAGTACTTTTGAAACTTGGGTTACAGAATCTCAGTCCAAGATAGTTAGATGCTAAGAGTATAGGTACCTTCTTCCTATCAGTGATTTTTGCAGTAACTACAGTAGATTTAGGGGTGCATAGTTATAATGAAAGATGATGATACCTCACCTTTACCCTGGTTGTGAACTATTTCCATAAAAACTACTAGATAGGAAGGTTACAGGGAAAAAAAATTGTTAGGGGAGGAGTGACAACATGATTATAAGAAAGAGCAGCTCCTAATCTTTCTTAATCTCTGATCTAACCTCCAAACTGATAATAATTTAGTTTTACATAAATAGGTTAATGAATGGTTTTATCGTTCCCCGCCTTTTTTCCCTTAGACTTCTAGCCAAAAAGAATTTAAGCAGGGACCCTGTTAATTCAAGAACTGTACATATATATTACTATGAAAATCAAACTGAACAGTCCAGAAAAAAGATTTATTTTCTAAAGGCCTTATTCTGAAAGGCTTTCTGTTAAGTAACCAAGTTAGATGCTAAGTCTCAGCTGAATAAGAGCTATTTCCAACCATGTTGTAGTTAACAAGTGCCATGTTTTGGTACCACTACAAAGTTAGTTTTAGGCAAAGAATTTTAGAAAACAGAATTTATAGGTTTATTCTTTTCCTTTTAAATTTTAAATCATTATGATGATGTATATGAAAAATAAATGACTGTTAGGAAAGTGGTTAAAAACACATGGCACTATTTAGCCACTGCCCTTTATGCTAGTAAGTAGGTTACTTTCCAGCTTCCATATTTTAACCTTATTTCTGAAAGACAGAGAGACATGTAGTGTGTGCCTCTGCTTGTCAGTCTCTCCTTTTCATCCAGTAACTTAGATATCTTTCACTAAATTCAATCAAATTTGAGTGAGGGAAGAATGTCTGAAAGATAAATGCGTTACTACAAGCTTTTAGAAATGTTTTAGGGAAGTGAAAATTAATATACCTAGTGTGAGAAAGATCAAAGACTGTCAGAACTCCACCTTTAGGGCATTTGCTCTGAAGTTGGTGGGGGCCTGGCAGAATAGTTGCGCTGTCTGGCTGTCATCATGAAAATACATCCAGACTAATCAGAACACGTGTCTGTCTCATGTCTGTTAAAATTGTCTTAGCAGATGTGTAGAGGATGTGTAGCAGTTGTAGACGTTTTTAGGAAACAAAGGACACAGATCCTTAACAAAACCCAACTTCTTTAATTTCACTTCTCACAGACAATGTTTTATTTCTTGTAGCTCCAAGGGCAACACACCTGGGATCAATTAACCTTATAACAGTTCATGTTGTTGATGGGTCCAAAATGACTTTGGGTAATGAGACTATTATGTCAGTTTATTTTTCATAAAACTTTACTTTCTCTGCTTTTGCTATATGGGTAAAATTACACTTTAATTAACAGAAATACCTTAATATATCTTTATATCGTGTTCATTTGTTAGTCACATTCCAGTGCATGTACAAAATGTTGCCGGTTTTAATTTTCCAGCCATTTTTTCTTTCGTGTAATTCTTTCTAGAAATAAGTATTTCATGTACAAGGGTGAGGAGTCATGTAAAAAGGCAGTACCTGATCATCTTTTCTTCTTTTGTCTGACTTACTAATGATATATATCTTCCCAGTCTTGAAAAGTCTTTTATCTGTATAAAAGCATGATTTTCAGCCAGGTTTCTAGCACTGACTCTTTTTGTTTATGGTCTGCACAAAGACAGTTTGAATTTCCCTTCCACCTGTGGTGTCTTATGTTTAAAAGGAAATCATTTGCATTTGATAAGCAATAATATCTCCACTTTCAGTTCCCAATGAAACTTACCAGATTTCACCCAAGACCAAAACTGCTCTAGCAACTGAAATTCCATGGTTTAATACAGGTAATTTTTAGGATTTTCTTAAGTTCTTGTATTGAGAGTCTGTAGATCTTAAGTAAAATCAGCACGGCTTAAGGTTTAATGGTCTGTTCGTTATTACCTTTAAAACTATTTCAAATATGTAACATGAAAACTTATTTTTCCCCTTATCAAATGTTTTTTGTTCATTGCTCTGAAAATCAAGGTTTAATCAGTATTGCCTCAAGGATGATATGAAGCTTTTAAACAGTGTTAGTGCTGTGTATTGGATCCTTAGATGTATAGTGTCGCAAACATAAATGTAACGGACTTCCACCTTTTTCCTTATAAAATACTAAATCTAAATTTGTAAAACTTTTCCCAAATGTAAATGTCAAAAATGATTAATATGTTCTTTCCTGCATAAGTATTTTCTCTGACACTTCAGAGAGGCTGGATTAAGTGTTGTGGATAGAATTAGATTCAAATATCAAATAGCTAGCTCTATTTATTTAAAAATTGGAGTTACAGAAGTTGATAATTTGGCACGAGATGACAGTGACTACTGCTTATGCTTTCAGCTTTCAGTGTAATTCATACAGATTCTGTTACAACTAAAATATCAAAATTATTTGGCAAGTGAAAGGTGACAATAAGAAAAGGTTGAAGGCTTCTGACTTTAACCTCAATGATGATACTATGCTTCATCAGCCCTACACAGTGTCTGCATTGAATGCTTCCAGTTGTTTTCTCAGCAACGTTTTAATGTTTCATGTCCTTATCTGAATATTTGATTTGGGGGGGTGGGGCAGTTTGGTGTTTTATTTTGAGGTTTGTTTGTTTGTTTGTTTTTTACAGAACCTAATTAAATGTCTTAAGGCCATGGATACCTTGCAGAGCTAACTCTGTATCCATATACAGTTGGGTAACTGGCTGTAAATATTTTATATCTTTTCCTAAACCTAAACATGAATGTAACTGGTCAGACTGCATGATGGAGTCATCTGACCACTAAAGAAACTAGCATTTTCAGCGTGCATTTTGGATTAGAACTCATAGAATTCTCATATGTCCATTTTGCTGTATCTCATTGGTGCATGGACCTTTTTTCTGGCAAATTAGACTGCACTATTGGTGTTCCTTTTACACATAACATTTAAACTGAACCTTATTTCTTTTAGCACCTCATAAAACACGTCTCACTTCCGCAAGACCAAAGCCATCTGGTAAATCACAGACCAGACCTGGTAATAATTGTTTATTCAATTTGGGATGGGGAGGAGATTAATTAATTAATTAATTTCAACTACTCTCAGTGGCATTTTAAGTGTTGCTGGGAAAAAAGGGTATTTTTCTTTCAATTAATCAGTCCAGAGATAAAGCCTTTCCAAATCAGAAAAAAAGAAACCAAACTGTGTGTCATCACAGCAAGTGTTACTTTTTCTTCTCTAATGTGGAATTGTTGGCATCACATAAGTGTCTGTTGGGTTTTCTTCTCATGGAACTTTTTTTCTTTTTTCTTCTTTTTCTTTTTTCTTCTTAAACTCTCTCACAGCTCTTAGTAAAACCACACTAGCACCAGCTAGAACAAAAGCACTTGGACTGCCAAAGTGGATTGTGCCAACAACAGGTACAGCTGCAGTTTTTGGGATTTTTTAACTTATCAGTAAAAGACAGGAATATGACTTCCTCATATCATCTTAGGTCCTGCAAAATATTTCATTGTGTTTGATTGTAGAAGTTAATTCCTCAGAGTACTGTATGTAATTGCTGCTACTGGTCATGCTGTATAACTCCTCAGTGTCATTATGAAATTATATTGACACTCAGTCCGTGTAAACTTACAGATAGATTATTATGTGGCTACTGTTTACTGATGTTTTCTAGATGATAGGTCCAGAATAATTACTGGAAAACACTTTGTTGAAAAGGGTTACCCAGTTGTTTAAGTCCAAGTCAGAAGGCTTGGTAAGAAAGCCTTCAAGCCGGGTATCTTGCTAGCTACTAGCTATGCACGTCCGACTAACACGTCGGACCTACTCATGTTCAGAATATGCAGTACTCGAACTATGCGGTATTCATGCTTGAATACTTCAGCACCAAGAAAGTTCTAAGATGGTGGATGATAGAGGAGGGTGAGAACTGTCACTTCAATTTACACATCCTTACACACACAGATAACATACATCCTTAACCACAAAGGTTTATTCAAAACACTGGTTTGGTTGGGGGAAAAATAATTTATCCTTTTTCAATGGTACTTGTTTTTTCAATCCAATCAAATGAAAAAATATGGATTCATTATGAATTAGCACTGACAACATTATTTTAATAAAACATTAATTTATTATGTCAATGCAAATACTGTTGGTTTTTTTAATGCAGCCATTGGTAAATTAAATACAGAATTTTGGGATTCTTCATCAATGATGCAAGTTTATAATAATAAATAATATAAATAAATAAATAAAACACATATTAAAAGCAAACTTTTGGCTGTTCACCCACTACTAATAGTGCTATTGTCCCATACTATTGCTCTATGCTAGCTAGGTTAGGATAACCTGAGTAATATACCATCTACTCTACACATTCCTTTTTTTGTCTGTGTAATGTTTCTCTGCACTAGGATTTCCAAAGTATCTTTGGCATTTAATACCCATTGTTGACCTTAGGATGATTTGAGCTACTCATTCCTGTACATAATTTCAAGAAACCCACCATGTTTTTAGAAATGGCAAAACCTCAGAAGAGATGGTTGTATATTTAAATTGAATTAAAAATAGCCTGTTTAGAACATGATATGCTCTTCTGTATTACATACAGAGTGGATGCCTTCACTGGAGGTACGTGCTCTTTGACCCTTCATAGTCCTTCTGGTAAATGAAATGAGCCCATCACATTCCAGGACATCAGAGACAGTTACAGTATTAAATGACCAACGGCAGTAGTTGTGGGTCAGAAAGTTTTGTTCTCCGCTTGTCTTGGCAGTCTGCTTATAAGTGAGCTTTCTAATGTCTGATTACCAAAATAGGCAGAATGCACACAGGTCTCCAGGAGTAGGTGGCTTTTAAATCACATTATGAAATTATACACAAATTCACAATTATGTTAGTATATTAAGCTTTTCCTTTTTCCCATACAGTAGTAACCTTGGCAGGGGTATTTGTAGATTAAAAAGAACAAAAAAAAGAATGCATGCTAAGTAAATCAGCAGTATAAACGTGATAGTAGACATGTAAATTGTTAAATATAGTTTATTGTGCTTAATGCTGTTTTAGGTGACAGCTAAAGTATTGTTTTAAGCAACCTTGTTTTAAATGTCCCTGTTGGAGTGCCCACTAGTCGTCATTATTTCCATGTCTTTATAGTAGTGCCAGTTACCAGGAAGAACTAGAGCTTCGTTGTGGTAGAAGATGTAAAAAATCATCACAAGACTATTACCTTGCCATGCATGTTATGTGTACTCACAGGCAAATAAGTACTTTCTTTTAGAATTCTTCTGGAAAATGATACTTCTAGTAATACTTTCCATTGCTCAGTTACATAAGTCTTTTTTCTCTAAGTTAAAGAAATGTCCTGAAGATGTCTGTTACCTCGATTTTGTGTCCTGCCAAGTGAGCCCATTAGGTTGAACTTGGTGTCCAAAGTACTAAGGAAGAGCTGGCATTTATTATCTACTGTCCATTTCTTTATGCTTCCAACCCTGCTGACATAGCAGCTTATTGATATCTTTCTGTGAGTCTGCACCTTTCTTCTCAGAAGTGTAGAGAAATCACCAGTAAATTTTGTATGTTCACAACATGTTGAGAGAGGACTGCAGCTTTTCACAACTTTTCAGTCTGTACTTTTCTTGATGATCAGTAAGTGAAATTGCAATCCTTCTGTAAAGCAGGTACGTCTCAGTATTGTGGCAAATGCAGTGTCTGAGCCTGTAAGGCTGGCTGTGCTCACAAAAATCATTTTGCACAACAAGAGAGTTCAGATAATCAATTAAATCTTCTGTATCTCTCCCAAGCAATGTGCAATTACATATTGCAAACAGAATTCCTAAGGCTGCAGAAGAGACTTAGAAAAGAGAACTCTGCTAACCTGGAACCCTAAATCTTACCAGCTGAGCAAAGACAAAAAAGTTTCTTTTTCAGTATGTGATATCTTAGAGAAATGATAACATTTTAAGATACCCAGATGATTTTTGGGGGTGGGGAAGTTTATTTCTTCCATTGTGAAAATGATATGTTATTTCTGTGGTTAGCTTATCAGAATCCTTAACTTCTGATCTAAGTTGATCAGAATGGACTGTAAGGAACAATATGTTTTCAGGCTTACCTCTAGACATTACATCATTTTTTCTTTCTCTGAAGAAGAGCACATTTACTGAAGAGCCACGGATACTCTGTTGTCTGAAGATCAGTTTGGTCTTTTAACTCCTTGCTGGGCTGGCACTGCTGTTGAATGTACTCTAGTTCTTCCTCCTGATTGTGCTCATTAGCAGTAGTGCAAAGATGTTTCACCCCGTGCAGAGTGTGCCTGGCAGCTGCAGGGCCCAGATGATAAGCAGTGGAATTTGGTTTTTCCAGCGGCAGCACATGGGATTGTGGCTGGTTTCCTGGCAGGCTTTTCAGTCTCCTGGCTAGCTGTACTGCCAGGTGGTAAACTTGACCGTGGGAAAGAGGCAGGGATTGTCTCCTCATGACTAACTTTCCTTTTAGTTTTCTACCATGTTTTAGCCATTTTCTATAGAATTTCATTTTATTGAGATGCTTTTCATATTTGTCTTAGTGTATGTAACTTATCTTACTCAGCTATTTTTTTTATTTAATCCTAACCATTTAAAAACTGCTCCTGATCTATTAAGCTTCCAGACGACCTCCAGCAAACAAACTTTGAGCAATGTTTCCATTTCCCTTGTGAAAGAGAGAGAGAGTTGGTTTTCATTATAATGGCCATTAACTTTGTGTTCTATTTTCTTTTTATTTTTGAAACTGTGGGTGTATAGCCAAGTTCTAGAGGAACTCGAGTATTAAGGTATTTCAGTTTGTTTTATCAAGGGCACTTTTTCCAGTTCTTCCCTTAAAATGATCCACCCTTCTAATGGTATTCCTGCTATTAAAGATGCAGTGGTTAGTTTTAAGGTGTTCCAGACCCCATGAATATTTCCAGGAAAAAAAGATAGAAGTAAAAGAAGACACAAACACACATACAAGTAATACATCTATTCTCAGTTCTTTTAAAAGTTTGGGTGAATGTGGTAAGTCAAAATGCTTACAATAAGCAAGTTACGTTAGCTAGCATGAGGCAAATGCTATGATAAATACAGCAAGCTGTTTGATAGCGCAGGTACCTTGTGTGAAAACACAAACAAACTTTTACGTAACTTTAAAGTGCATAGAAACATTCAAAAAGGAGATTTTGTCAACAGGGAAGTGTTTTGGTTTGATCAGCTTTTTCCCTGAAACTTTGACTTATTTTTTGTTACTACTTTACTAATGGCAGAACAGCAGTGCAGGTTTCTGGAAAAAAAAAAAAAAAAAAAAATTACTACTTCCATCTAGAACGTATACAATATTTTGTTCATTCCTAGCTGATATAACTCAGAAAAGACTGTGGTTCTAAATTAGATTGTAAGGAGCAGGATAGAGGTAGGCTTTTCTGTAGACACTGTAAGATGCAAAACTAAATTAGACTTGTAATGGATACACGAGTGATTTTGTGTGATTTAGTCAATGTGCCACTACATTTTGTTGATGTGTTTGTTGTGAGATGAAGCTAAGAAACTAAATATACTCCGACTGTGACCTGTGGTGTACAAGATTATTTTTCTTTTTAAAGCCGGTGCTGGTCTTCTAATGCATCTTCTTCCTTGAACACTATTCACATGAAACATTGATTAGTACTCTGGCACTTTGTATATCTGAAGATCTCATTAACCACTTTAGTTACCTGAAGACAAATTGCAGTTGTATAAAACCACGATGTGTTCAGAAATTTTAGTCACAGGGGCCAGGTGACCTACGTCCTGTTCCCAGCTTACTACAAGTCTCATTACTTTAATATTAGGTAAATTATTTAATGCGTCCATACTATGGGCTGTGGATTCCTAAGGTATGCCTAGCAAGAATGGCCAAATAGTAAAATAATTGAAAAATTATCTGCTTCGTGCTGTTAAAATACTAGTTTAATCTCAGAACAAACTGAGCACCAGATTATAAACCTATGAAATCTTTGGTTAAAATGTTTAGATCATGTTGGAATAGGGTTGGAATTTGATAATTAATTTAATTTTGAGATTTTTTTTTTTTATAAATACATTAACTTTCAGGGATTTTTTTCTTATATCATGAGAAAGAGTGATTTTTTTTTTCCCCACAAACATGATGAAATTGCAATGCATCTTCTCACTCTACCATAGATAGAGTTTTTACAATGTAAATATACTTATTTT